CGCCCATCTATCGAAGACGTGGACCCGACAGCTTTCTGTCATAGCGAACCACTCCCGTAACGCTACCCGTCGTCGAAGCTGAAGTTCGCTGGTTAAGCAAACAGTGCAGCTGAAAGAATCATATAAAGTAAAAGTCCGGCTCCCATACTTTGGTGTTGTATGGGAGCCCGAGTTCGTTGGGCGAGCGGTGACAGCGAAACGTGGCGCCGCAGCTTATCGATCAGGGGCGGTATTCAATCCTTCCCCCAGGGGGATATATCCCCCTACTCTGATTCAATCCTCTGGGGGGACAAAAAAGGGTTGCGTCATAGGACCTAGCATACCTCTGTGTTTCTACCTGCCAGACAGTTAGAGCAGCGCGACCCCTCAGGGAAAAGTGCTGCATCAGTGGAGGGTAGTTTTTTCACTTGATTTTTCCTCAATGGTCCTGCCGCGATGGCTAGAGCACAGACGATTAGAGAACGGGTGAATGCCCTAGGACTAAGCCTTGGAGAGGAGAGGGACCCGCGAGAGAGCGCAGAGGCGGTTTAAAGGGCTGAGTTCAAGTAGTCCGTCGACCGGAGTTTCGACGTGCATACCCGGCGATGCACGCGGGCTGCAATGTTTTAATGAATAGGTTACTTGTCATGACCACTCTTGTCCTGTCCATTGGTATTAGAGAGCTCAGCGACGTGTATTCCTCCCGAACTCGTTTTCACCGTTATTAACCATATTAATCATGTATCCAAGATAACGTTCTACATTCTAGCGCAGCGCGATCTAGTCGACAACGCCCGTCCGTATTGTTATTGGAAGAGCTGCTTCAATCACTATGTCCGCTACCTTGACGACAAGGACAAGTATTTTATACGAGACAGTGATGGTAAGTGTGCACTCATTCTTCCACTTCAATAACGTCTTCGTTGCGGGAGTAGGTTGTGTCTTTAACTCGCGATCGTACTTGCAAGTGTGGCGGGTCGTTACTGACCTGTATGATTAGCATAACGGCGCCTCGCTCGCGAGTGCAATCGCCGTTGCGATCGCGAAGTCTGACACCTGCTTTGGATCGCGTTTTGGCAGGATATGATTCTATGCATCGCATCGTGCTTGTCGGGCTTCTATGTCCCTTGTTTTCGCAGCGAGTTGAGTGGGTTGGTTATTTGGTGTAGCTCCCGGATAATCAGAATAACGAAACATTTTGCGATAGTGGCGTAAAGAAAGAAGAATAATTCGTTGGAGATCGGACACCTTGAACGCGTAAATAGTATCAGAGGCAAACGGGAATTGCTATTTTGGATAGTATTGCGTGAGACCGATCAGAATGGGGTGGTGAAGTCGTGTAGAACAAAGTACATAAGTCGCTTAAATACAAGGATTTCAAGAGTAGTATT